GTCGAGTCGAGCGCTTGGATCGGGCGGATAATCGATTTTACGAGCTCCCAAAATAAACCGAGTCCCTTCGGCACAACATGCATCATCGAACGGTCACATTCTGCATCCATCTTGTGTTGTTTTTTTAAATGTTAGTGCATGTGTTTTCAAGGAATTTAAAGGGCTGAACGCCCTTTTTATATATATTTTTTTACGCATTGTATATATTTATGCAAATCAAGTACTAACTAGTTAAACACCATATTCGGGCATCATCAATACTTTATTTTAGATTATTTAAAATGGTACTCTAATGAAAAGCTTGTCAACCTATATAGAATGATTGTGACGGATACTTAGTTATCCGCTGTAGACAGGATCCGTGGAAATCAGCGACTACGACTACAGTTGAAGTAGTTCATAACTACCATGTAAGTAATTTCAACATAAGCTTTATTTATATAAAACGTAGCACCACTAGTTTGTCCGACTGATTTACTTGAAATGTATTTAAAATGGTTTCTAGACAGAGCTTTAGGGTACATCATATGGCATATAACACTTAATGTTAAGTAGTGCATTGAGGCAACAGAGACATTTCGCTCATTTAAACGCACATTGACTCAAATTACATATTATATCGATGCTTAAGCACCACCAGCCCAAGTAGATTTGCAAACGTTTATCTGTATGGATGACTAGTACTTACCTACTTGTTTCTGTGTCGGAGAGCGAGTTCATCCTTTGCTCGAGACATATTAGTGTCCTGAAAGGTCAACCATATAAAGAGAAGCCATAAGTATGTAACCAAGGGGTGCCCTTAGATATTTATAAAGTGTTAGATATATCTAGAAATAGTTCTTTACTAGGCAGCATTTTTGTTTTTCATTGCAGTACCCAAATATGTAATCAACATTTGATTAGTCTACTAAATAGGAGGAGAGGGAGCTATAAAGCACCTGAACACATTAGTGACAAATAGGGAAACAGTTTTGATATTTCAAATTACAGAATACCTCATTCTAGCAGTATAACGTCCCGTCTAAAGCAATAAAAGGGTCCATTCACCTAAATAGTGCTGTGGGTGTAGTCAGTGTTGTGTTTTATTGTTACGAGCGAGTTAACGAGCTTGCCAGCCCTGCATCCCCATGGCTACGTGTGTTCGTCTCTATCTCAAACAGAAATACATAAATAAATGAAACTAGATGAATCAGTTTCTCGAAATGTTATAAAACTAAACATTTTTCGACTTCGGCTTCTATAACGTCTTTGATAGTTAAACTAACAAATGTCACATTTGATAGCTTTTAGATGCAATAAAGATAAAAAAAATCAGATCATGACTTAGATATCGATATTCGTTTCCAATCTCATTATAAAAAGAAATGGAGTGTCAAGTACCCAAATTAAAAAGATAAAAAAACTTACCTCTCAAACTTGAATTCCATCTTTATTAGAGAGTAATTATTTAAAAAAAGTAAAATGTCACATTTGAGCTTAAGTACTTAATTTAAATAACTTTAACGAGTATATTGCCTATTAATTACTACTAAACACATACTTAAGGGCGTACCCCTTCCTCAAAGGCTGGCATCGCGCTTTTGACTCCTGATTTGCTGGCGTTTATGGGCGGCGGTAGTCGCTTTCCATCAGGTGACCCGACTGCTCGTTTGCCCCCTATTAAAAAAAAACTAACTTACCAACGAAGCTTTTTTAAAAATTGAAATGGCCCAGAAAACAATAACGCTGTGCTTTCTACAAAATAGGAGTTCAAGCGACGTGTGCACAAGAAATTAAAACTTAAGTGTATAAAACCCATAATGTATTCTAACGAATCTTATATGTGGAATTAATGCGGATATATTGGTCATATTATTTATGTTCTCAGTCTGTGAAACACAGGCAAATGTCAATACCAATCATATTACAAGATGTAAGTAGAAATATTATGCTGGGCTAAAGTGCTCGGGCGGCGCGGTCGAAAGACTGATGCGACGTATGTCATTTCGACTTTTACGACACCCGGCATTTGAAATAAGAATACAAACCCATGGCCACATGTGTGGCCCCATAAAGTGGTCAGTGTTAACCCAGAAAAGTTATTACCAAATATATTATGTGTCAGATTACGAAATGACAACTTGAATACAGCTTCGGTTAGACACAAACTGCTCATCTCAGTATAATTTAAGCTTTTCTTTGTCCCGCGTATTCACTATCAAATGACATATATGTAACTTGCTATTCTCTCCTAGAAGTTCTTTTTTCTTTTTTTATACGCAGAATGAAGCCAAAGAAAATAAGTATGTATCTTCTCATTTTCTCATCATTTCTCTCTGGAGTTTAGACACCACAAGGACCCGTTTAGTATATAATCATTAATAATAGTTATACAAAGCCGTCGATCCATTCAAAGTATTACAGTTTCATCTTTGCCTAGGTAAAAATATAGTGTTAATGTTACTTAGAATTCTTTCGTATATTATGATATCCATTCTCTATGTAACTTGTAGGATCACAAAAAAGAAAATTCACACAATGTGTTAACATTTAAGATGGCGTTTCAAAGTTATAACTGGAACTAATGTGAAATTGATCGCTAAACAAAAAACTCTCTGTTCTTAATAAGACCGTTTGCAAATATTTAGTTGCACGAGAGGTATTTTTTCTTTTATCTTTAACTGTTTTTTTCTGTTTAAACACGTCCTAAGGAATAGATCATAATTGTTACACTATTTTTGGGTTTTTAGGTTAGTATTGGAATATTTTAGTCTTGGATTATTTATTTAAATTACATGTTCTACCATATTTAATTAATAGTAGTAATCAATCCAGTTTTGTATAATTTGGTTACACCTTGGTACATCAATTTCCTCACGACACCAAAACAGCTGTTAAACATAAACCATTTTTTTACATGAATCTACAGTTACACAGATGATTGTGTTAATAGTATCGACTTAACATATTTATGCATCGTACATTCAATTAATTCAGCATCTTATTGCCTCAACATATTCAGGAACATCATAACATTATAAATATACCGCATCTCGTTGTAGTTGTTGTCCAATAAATATATTTCTTTACGGCGTGAAACCAATCGTTGGCGAGATAGCGTTATCGTTTAATGGCCACTTCAGCCACGATACGAAGCCGTATAAACAGAAAAATAAAGAAAAAATGTTCTTATAAGCGTCCGCCTGTTCGCGCCTTAATGTAATAGCATTTGCATTTCCTTACATTTGTGCGTGCGCGTGCGTCGCAGCGGCGCACACCTACATACGAGTACATCTCTTTCGTATACTCCACTAGGTATAGATCCGAAGCTTTATTGACTCATAAATCACGCTTCAAGTACTTTGTACTAATATGCTAAAAGGTTTTTGTTTTATAGCGATACTGATTGTCTGTCATAACATTTACAAATTGGATTACTTCAAAACCTATTACAATTTAGATCGAGTTTGTTTTTTGAGGTCACGTTTTCCGGATTTTCTCGAGATCTTATTCGCCTTTATTCGTTGTTTGTGAAAAGAAGGTGTGTACTTATGGTAGTCTAGTATTGGAATCTATGTGTTACTAGTATGGGTACTCTTGAAACCATTTATTAAATTATAGTTCTTAGGTATGAAAGTGTGTGATTTGAAACTAAGAAGGTAATAAGGCTCATAAAGAAATAAGAATCTGGATATTGATCTTAAAAATATGCTAAGCGTGCATGTTAAGGTTAAGTAAGTAATATTTGCTGCTTCCAAAAATCTAAAGAATTGAATAGAATAAATTAGCGTTACATAACCTTCAGTAAATTCCTTAGGTGTTCCACTTCAGAAGAATAAGTCTCTGCCTTTTCCAGTTATTTCGCATGTTGTCTAGACGTAGGTAAAAAACAAAAAATTAATAAGTCGTCAAATTTACTACACATACTGTATTTCGATTCAGTATATAAATAGTGTATTAATTAATTCAAATATGCAAAAGACAATCTTGAAAGAGATCTTAAGATAGAATCATTGAACATTAAATATACAAAGTTTACGGTAATTAATTAAATGTCACTTGCAGCCATGCTTAAGTAAATACCTGATTACTATGTATCATGTCTGTGAATGATACACAACACAGAAGTACACATTTGTCTATTAATTATGTTTTAACAGTGAATATTTCTCACTAGCTCGTGAGTACAGTTAAGAGTCAACAGTTGCCTTGTTTTAAAACTCCTGCGTTTGAAATTACTTCAAAGAAATGAACCTAATTATCACAATGCAAATCGTACAAACATTAGTAAAATGTTAGCCAACATGTGCTGGCGGCGGAGGCCGGATCAAACACACGAGCAAGCGAACAAACACCGGTGTTTGGACTATCGCCACTTTCGGTTCTGTACAAATAGGGACCGTTGTTTGTTCAAGTGCCGGCGACACGCCACTGCGGAGTTCTTAACCGCCTTCACAATACCTCCAAGTCCCCTTTGATTTTCATCTTTGTAAGAAATCTTTTTATACAATTTGGGGGACAGAGAGGGCCAAGTTACGTTGGCTGCGGCTCAAAACAAGGCGACACCTTTCTCGGCTATAGTGGAATGGATTTACCTGTCAGATGTTTTAACGAGCTAAGTAAGGGTTGACAAAGGCTATAATTTACCTCAAGTGTAGTTCAACAAGAGCGATGTTTACGACATTTAAGAAGGACCTTCTTCTTAGCGTAGCATAACAGGTCTAAAATGTGAGTTTATTCATTGGTAGGAATGTGGGTTAATACAAACAAATGTTTATTAATGACGTGATACTATTAGACCGTAATATCTCATTGGACCAACTCTTTTTGTATACCTTTTTGGCATTAGATTACATATTGACATCTTGACAGCAACTACTTTTTTATGAGACAGAGCAGCAAGCATGGCCAAGTCTAAAGTTACATACATTGTTATTTATTGTAAGACAAGTCAAAGGTATTTAAATAAACCACAGGGACAATGGTAAAGGTTGACTAACTAACTAAAGTTGGCCATCAAGATGGCGAAGTGTTGGTTCGTTACTATTATTATTATTATTAGTATATGAGAGGCGGTCGTATCAGGGGGGTTGTATTTGAATCGTAGTTTTCGGTATTTAATTTACATTTTTTTCAAAAACACGTATACTAACGCCTTTTTCCTTGTCGACAATATGAAGTGATATTTACATAAGTCGTAACGTTTAATGTTTATCTGTGTTCGTTCTCCTCTACTTGATTAATATCAAACTATCAGATAAACTTTACAAACTGCTATTCAGATAACAGCCATTCTAAAAAAATCATCCGCTTCATGGCTGCCATTCCTGGTGTACCCGTCAACTAGATGCAATTTTGTTTTTTGTTTATGTAACTTAATACAAGCTTTTCTTGGTGTTTTTCTTAACTCTATTAAACTCTTTTCAAATACCTCTGAAAGAACAAATCAACAAATCTCTATATTGTTTCCCCGACAAACTTTTAGCATTTCATCTATAGAATAATACGTAGGAGAGTGTTAGGAGGAGAAAGCTAAAAAAAATCAAGTAAAGTATTATATTTTGAGCTATCGTGGTATTTAAGTTTATACAATGAGTTTAGTATAAAATAAAAACTGGCCATTAAAAGAAAACAACATTCAAAAAACTTGAACTTTGATTACCAGGCGGTCTCTAGTTCATGTTATTCTGGGGAAGGGCAGAGGAGACAGAGGGGTATTCAGACCTTCTTTATTGTAGATAAGTAAATCTTCCTTCTGTAGGTACATATATCAACAATACGGAAAAATCGTCGTCAACACGCTAAAAATATTTAATCTTTATATTTGATAGTATTTCTGCCGTTATCTTGTGAAATAAGTACCTACACCTGCCCAGAACAGCTGTTTGTTATTTCATCGTTCCACAGTCTTGCTGACTGCCTAATTACTTTAATTATTGCGGGGCTATCTGCGATCTACAGCCATGTATTTCCCTGTTATTTCTTTTTTCTAAAACTTGGCATGAAAACTGTTTATAATATTTAGTATACATATATTCCTTTTATAAATATCGAAGTATTATTAACGATTAAATACTTTCAAAAATATAATAGTCTAAATGTCTATGAACTAAACTACATATGTGTATCATAAACTAAATGTCATTTTTATCTTTGTTTTTCTGTTCAACTGTTAGGCGAAATGCTTAATAAATTCTTAAGAATCGTTCCATTACTGATTAATTGATTTATTTAATTTTAAAATATGTAGTTTCTTATTGTATTAATGAAGACCTTTCGTTTCGACCGTCGATTTAACCTTTAGAATTTTATATGACAAAGTTCGTAGGATGCTTTCTATAGTGCACCTACTAACATTGACGATACATTGTCGCCATAGACAACAACAACTTATGGAATTCTATTTAGTATTTGACTTGATCAACATCCATGTATTTAGTAATATGTGTATAACCATGTTTATTAACAGTGGTTATCATAGCACGAGCTCCGCCTTGTTTAGGATCGATATGATGGCGGTGTATCAAATTATTATTATTATCTAATCAAGTTAAGTTTTTAATTACTTTTAGGCTATACGTTACATTCTGATTAGTCTTAATCATTTAAGCTTGGTTATTTTCACATCTCTCATCATTCGAGAAAATATTACTACATAATGACAGTTCTAGACTCGAAAAACTTGTCTAAAGTAGCAGCACTATATCGGCACGTATACTCGATCTAGATAAAGTGAGCGTGTTACACTATCGTCGACTGAGCTCGTAACTTGTCAGGCTATGTCGCTATATCAGGTTACGCTCGCTGTATTTGAATCTATTTTTTTTTTCTTATATTACCAAGCTGACAAACAAGCTTTCTCAGAGAGTTTTTCCCTTTCTGGTGAGCTAGCTTTTAAATTCGGCAATGGTAGCAGAAGATGGAAGTACTAAAAAACATTGGTCTTCTTTAGAGTGGATATAATTCCCAAATAATGTGATATCATTTCCGCTGTAGCTACCCTAAAGTACTTCCTTTTAGGAGCCTCATGCAGTATGCAGTATAACACTTTATTTTTTATACGACACCCGCATATCTTCAAATAGTTGATCATTAATACTCCTACATTTGAACACCCTTTTTTTTTTTTTTTTTTTTACAATGGTTCCAGACGCCATGTTGCATTGCCCTATGACAACAGCTAGACCGGGCAATCCAACCCAGGATTCAGGTAGTCCTAAAGGCAAACTTATTAAAAACTAAAAATTTATATTTTCAGGTGGGTGGTAGTTGCCGGCGCATGGCGGGCAAGTGTTCTTCGGCCGCCTACTCCAGCAGGCAGTACGAGGAACGACCGGCATTCGTCACTGCTACAGCTCGCAGCTTGGGGCGTGCCCGCAGCACTAGCCGCTGCTGTACTGGTTACGAGAGATGTGGACGCAGATGAACTTACTGGTAAGTATCAGACAACATTATTTATAATAGTGACTATGTATTCAAAACTCAATACCCTATACCGACCCGTCTGGCAAGCGTGGCATAGTAGGTCAAAGGCTTCTTTATAAGGAGAGGTCTATGTTCAGCAGTAAAGACTGTTGATGATGATTAAAAATTGGTGCAAAGTTGTCTAAATAATCTGAGGTTTTTATCAGAACAGAGTACATCCTAAATACTCAAATTCTACTTACTTCTCTATACTTAGGAGAGGATGGATTGTCGTTAGTTGGCCACTAAATGAAATTAAGATTATTTATGAGTACTGGTAACTACTGACTTATAATGTAGGTAGCTGAATGCTTCTTTATAAACATCGTTGTATACTAATAACTATGAGCTAGAGAGTATTCTGCTGCGTCCATTTTCATAAGTTTATATAAAATAAAATTTAGAGTAAAGAAGTTTATAGTAAATAAGTTTTAACAGTTCAGAGAGTAAGCACTTATATAGTAAGCAATGATCAAATACCTAAATCAATGTTTCTTTTTTTTACAATTGACTAATTATTGTACCCTGCCACTCTTCACTGTGGCACCTTGACATTGCACTAATAAGAAATGAGGAACAGACCTGACGCGAAAACTAGATAAAAAAATCTATGAAACAATTTGTACTCGTATATCGCGTCAAAATTTGAGCTCAATCGTTGCAGAACTTTTTTAAAGTTTTTGATGCGTACACAAACCTACTTATCATTTTTATATAGATTTTATTGTTTATTATATCGTTATTTTTTTAAAGTTTGAAATGACATTTAAAATGGCATAGGATTTCAATTCCGTGTAACACAGATCACGAACAATCGGTGTATTTATAATACCTTGTTTCCCAGTACCTGGGTCTATTATGGTTAGACCGGTTGAATAGTTAGCGAATGTTCATACATAAAAAATCAATTTGCGTTAAAACTCTTTTCTAACAATGTATGTAGTTTTTGTCTACCGGCTGGTACTACAAATATGGAAAGGCTCAAAATGGGCAATATTTAAAAATCTATAAATAAGTACCCTTACAGTTCTTTCATATAAAAGATCGTCCTTTTAGATAAAACCTAAGAAATATTGATTACGTCAGTCATACCAAATATATTACACATTTTTAAAAATAAATAATATTTATAGCACTGATGATTTAAAGACCTAATGACATTTTAATATCAAAAATGTAGAGTTTAGAAGAATACATGTATTGTGTGTGGTAGTTTAAAACATGTCCGAACGAATAGAATACCTTGTTACTATGTTGAATAAAAGTTTACCTTGTTACAATAAATGAACATTATATAAATAATAATATACAGAAATATTATTCATTACTTACGTATATCGGAAATACAGTCAATCATTAGAAATTGTTCCGTTCATCGGTCACCATATGGTCATGTTAAGTTCAACGTTTCTTACGAAGGTTGGAGCATTTGAGATTACTTACTATCAAGTTCTGAATAAAACATTACTGTCAGCGCACATTATTTTTATGTACGCTGACTGAATGTGGCTTTCCGTGTGATGATGGATTAAGAATACGGAGTGTCACCAACCCTATTCATCCCGTGGGTGTTATAAGCCGACTACGCAGCAAGGGAGCAAACTACGCAGCACAACAGCACTGTAAGCAGATGGAAAAGTTGAAACAAACCCTTTTTTTTTTTTTTTTTTTTTTTAACGTGTGGAAATCCCCTCGGACCGTCACCCCTCCGGGGTTTGCGGCGGGGTGGGTGTGACGGACTCGGACCGACTAAAACCACACGGTGTGCCACTCTGCGCCTGTAACAGGAGGGATCCGGGAACAGCTGTTGTTAAGACATCCGGATCCCTCCTAGCGCCAGCCCGCTCCTGGTGCGGGCTCCGTCTCAATGTATTTTCCTCTCTTTAGGCGACGTCCGGCACACGCGGACGCCGCCCCCTCGCGGCTGGCCAAACTAATGCGGGTGGAGGGGAAACCCACCCCGTCCACCCGCGGCCACACTCAGGGCGGCATGAGGCTGTGATAGGCGGGCCTCCGCCGCCCGGTTCGCCGGCGGCGGATCGGGTCCGAGTGGAGGTCGTCCTCCCGGGCCCTCTCCGCCGCCTCCTTCCGCGAGATTACTACCTCGCAGAAGGTTGCGACCGCAGTAAAACAACTGTCGCTACCGGCCATGGAGCGTACTACGGCCGGTAGCGAGAGATCCACTCCGATGACTGCAGTGAGGGGCCCGGCGCTGCGCCGCCCATGCGGGGCAGACCGCCAGCGTGTGGTGGGCCGAGTCCTCACTGCAGTCGCAGTGGTGGCAGGCGGGACTCAGTTCCCTCCTAGCGACCGAGTGCAGGTACTTCCCGAAGCAACCGTGCCCGGAAAGCACCTGCGTCAGCCGGAAGGAAAGGGTCCCGTGCTGCCGCCCTGCCCACTCGGCGATGACCGGCTGGAGAGCCTCCACGGCGGCGAAGCCAGCGCGTGGAGTCTCCAGCCGGAACGACCAACGAGCCATCGTGGCTCGGCGAGCGGCTTCGCGCCACTCGCGCACATCCTCGGGCGGAGGGCGAAATCCGCTCTCCGCCCGGGAGTCAGCCACTCGCCGATAAACTTCGGCGAGCACTTCCGCCTCCAAATCCCAAAGGGGAGTTCCGGCCAACGCGCACGCCACCTCCGTCGAAACGGTGCGGTAACCGCGTATGGCTCTGACCGCCATTACCCTCTGAGGGCGCCAGAGGCGTACCCTATTCTGGGCGGTCAGAGCCGCCGCCCACACCGGTGCACCGTACAGTGCCATTGACCGGACAACCCCCGTGTACAGCCGTCTTGTCGCGACGCTGGGTCCACCCATATTGGGCAAAAGTCGCCCTAGGGCAGACGCAGCGCCGACCAGCTTTGGAGCAAGCTGTCGGAAGTGCTCGTCGAAGAGCCACCTCCCGTCGAGGATCAGGCCCAGATATTTCATCTGGGCCCGAACCGGTACGAGGACCGAGTTGACCACGATTGAGGCGCCAGGGGGTGGACCACGACGGGGCCCATGAAATAACAGGGCCTCCGTCTTATCTAGGGCCACCCGTAAGCCCAGCGCCTCAATGCGCCCGACCACCAGGGAGACTCCCCCTGTGGCCAGGCGCGCCGCCTCTTGGAAGTTTGCCCCCCGGGCTGTCACCAGGGTATCATCTGCGTAACAGATTACACCCAGCCCGGGGGGGAAATCGGCGCGAAGGGCCCAGTCGTACCCTATGTTCCACAAGAGGGGTCCAAGAACAGACCCCTGTGGAACACCGCACGACATGGGCCGACTCCTCAAATTACCTTCTCGGTCCTCGTACACGACGGTACGCTCCTCTAAATAGTCTGCCACCAGCCGCCTCAGGTACTTTGGCACCCCATGATAGTGGAGTGCTTCCCTGATGCAGCTGAATGGCAGACTATTGAATGCGTTGGCGATGTCTAATGACACCGCCAACAGCACGCCGCCACAGCTCACGGCCTCTTCGGTCACGGCCCTCAGGCGCAACACGGCGTCGACTGTCGAACGCCCCGCCCGAAAACCAAATTGGGCGTCCGACAGATCGGGGCCCACCTCGCAGAGGTGCCGGACGATGCGGGCAGAAAGAACCCTCTCAAACAATTTGCCCGCCTCGTCCAGCAGCACGATGGGCCTATAGGCCGCGACCGAATCGGCAGGCCGTCCCGGCTTCCTCAATAGGACCAGCTTCCCGCTTTTCCAGCACTCAGGGAAGCGTCCTGACGCCAAGCTAGCGTCGAACACCTCCCCGAGGCGGTCTGCCATGTGGTTGAGGGCCAGGGCCAGCACTCGGGCCGGTACCCCGTCTGGCCCAGGGGCGGTGTTCTTGGAACGGATCCGTAGAACAGCCGCCCCTACCTCCGAATCCCGGACGGGCGGAACATTATCCTCCCCGTGCTCCCCGTCGTCTCCGGCCAGGGAGGCCATCGACGGGGGAGTGTGTTCCGCCCGTTGTGGGAAAAGGCCCTCAACCACTTCTCGCAGGAAGCTGGGCTGGAGAGTCTCCGTAAGGGGGGGGCCCGACGCGCGGAGCTTTTGTCGCACCGCGCGGTAAGGGCGACCCCAGGGGTCACGATTAAGACCCTCCAGCATCTCCTGTCTCTTTTCTTCTTTGGCGCGGCTAATGGCCAGCTTCAGAGTTTTCCGCGCCCGTCGGTACTCCTCATGAAGCCGGTCCTCCTCACCGTCTCCACGGTGACGCCGCCGACTGCGCGTGTAGGACCTCCGGGCACGTGTACAGGCCGCACGGAGGTCCGCCAGCTCCTGGGACCACCAGTAGACCTCCTTCCTTGGAGGCCGACGACCTCGAATGCGGGGCATGGCCGCATCGCAGATATGCGTAATCGCATCGCGAAAGCGACCAGCCCCCACGTCGACCTCCTCGGTCGGAGCCTGAGGAGACAGCCACGAGTGAATTATGGCTGCCTCCTCTAGTAGGTCCCGGTTCAGTCTGGCAACAGCCCACCGCGGAAAGCGGGATAAACGCCGCGCCACGTGACCCCTACTGGAGTCCTGGGTCCGGGAGAGCTCAAATCGGATATACAGGTGATCCGAGAGCGTCTCAACCTCTTCCAGGACACGCCAGTTCCTTACTCGTGCGGCTGAGGGCAGGGGTAGCGAACGAGAGGTCCACTATCGACCCCCCCCTGCTGTCGCACGCACGTGTTGGTGGAGCCTCTGTTGAGAAGACAGAGGCCCACCGAGGCCGCCCACTCCTCTACGGCCTCGCCCCTTGCGTCCGTCCTGGGGGAACCCCACGCAATGGACTTTGCGTTGAAGTCCCCCCAGCACAAGGACGTGCCCAGACGCTAGTCGCCGTATCGAGGTCTCCAAGCTGGTTAGGAAAACCTCGAAGTCGTTCAAACTCCGGTTGGGGGAGAAATAAACACCATATGTGGTGATCCCCCCCCACTCGACGGCAACATATCCAGTGCCCTTGTCTCTTAGCGACAAGGGCGGGGAATGAGCCGTCGTG